CCCCCTCTCTCTCTCTCTTCCTCCTCCTCTCCCACCATCCATTACATATATATGCGGTTCGGCGAAATAGCCAGCGGCGAATAACGCGAAATGTTGCGAAGGTCGGTCGTACGCCAACGTTAAACAAGAGCGCTCGTAAAGTAACGCAAGCTAGTGTCGGCAGTTAGGTGGCAATATTTTTACCTTCGACTCGTTTGACGCTCGTACGTACCGAGGCCTCGTGAATTAGAGGCGTAAAGGGAGAGAACGGGGGGATATACCGTTCGACGCAGCGATTCAAGCATAAAAGGAAACCGAGGCGCAAGGCAATCGGTCCCTTGCGAGGCTCTTCTTCACCAGGGCCTACTGTCCGAGTATGAGAGGCGCAACCCGACAATAGGCCCATGTGGCAAGGATCCCACAGCATCTTGTCTTCGTTTTCGTACGGCAACGCATCGTCGTACTTGCAGAGACCCTCGGGTATCGCCGCCTGGTAGTCGCTCCCAACCATAATCGTCTTTTTCCACTCTTCCTCGTCTGGACTGTAGTCGCAATCGTCCTCTTCCTCCTCGCTCTGGGGCCGTGAAACACTGCGCAGCAGCCGGGAGGAACCGCCACCACCGCCACCGCCACCGCCGCCACCACCACCACCACCACCACCACCACCACCACCGCTCTCGCACACATCGGCTCACCCAACCGTGTATGCATTCACATACGTACATATCGGTCGGCACTATCGATTATTTTACTTTCATATGGCACCTTCCCCTATTCCGAGCGCGTCCGCCCTTTCCCTGCCTCCTCCACCGTCACTTGGAGCGACGCAACGTCGCGTATAGAGCGGCGGTATCGACGTTACATCGCCACTGCTTCTTCGCGTATAGAGCGGCGGTATCGACGTTACATCGCCTCTTCTTCTTCCTCCCCCCCCCTCCCATACCCCTCCTCGCCCCCTTACGCCACCTCACCGCCCACAGTCGGCACGCGACCGACCAAGAGACAACGCGGCCGACATCCTCAGGGCTGGCAAAATGAACCCGACGCGAGGCTCGCTCGTGCCTTCGTAGCATGCGCACGACCCCCTCGCCTTGCTGGGATCCCCGCGATCACCGTCGCGGGGCCGCGTTTCGGGTATCGATCGACAGATCTCGCGGACGGCATTAATTTCACGACGGACAGTGGCTTCTCTCGCGATTCCTTCGGCCTTCGTGCTTTCGGCGCACAGAGGGTCGCTCATCGGGGTGCTTCTCGCATGTCGAATGAGAGCGCTCCGAGCTCCATATGGAGCGCGGAGAGAATGGAAAATCGGTTTTGAGCGCTCGGTGGAAGCCAGGGGCCCCTGACGCTATGAGCTGTCTATTCAGAGTATTAGGGGTGGATAGTTTGGGCCTGAATAAGCTTTTGAAATATTAGGTACATTGTATGGTTTTATTGGTTTTTCGAACCGTCCGAAAGCAGCATATGTTTAGCCGCGCGCCAGGATATTATTCAATTAAAGGCGGATTTAATATCTGTCGTAACCCTTAAGCGCTCCATCACCTTTATCCACCATTTGCTTTTTTTGTTTTCTCATAATATTTTAGAACCAATGGACTCTAATGTCATTGGGTTCTGTGGTATGTCAAGAATTTTAACGCCTGTAAACTGTCGTGGCCCTTATATATGAAATTATCGAAACGAGCATTAACGCTCGTAACGTAGCTACACGATTCAATGTTACCATGTCAATAGCCAGCACTAAATGAAAAGCAAACGTTTAACAGCAGATGACTTACGCAAAGATATTTATAAGATATCTTTTCACCGTATTAAAACAAAACAAAACATAAAAAAACAAACAAACAAAAAAACAAAAAAAAATAAAAACGGAACAAAAAAAAAACAAATTTTGATTGGATTGAATAATCATGAAATTAACGATAACGAGCCGATAAATGTGTTTATGACTCTTACATTCTTAAATCTTTTTAAACATGCCAACAATATTCATACTTTCCCCACATTTGATGCAGCGCAGCGAATTCATAAGAAACATTGCAAGAGTTCCAAAAATATCATAATTCAATTGTCTAAGAATTATTTCATGGTGGATGGTGGATTGGGGGGGGGGGATTTACAAAATCGAAATATTGTATTTTAGTAATTTTCTCTCTACGCTTTCGTACGTTTTATATATTATTTGTAAGCCCTAAATAGAAAAACAAGGTTTTCTCTAGCCTTAACGATAAGCTAGAATAAAAATAATACTGGCACTCTCAATTACTTAAGATCCGCTTATTTTGTATACGTGAAAGTATCGTTTATCTAAAAGAAAACGGGGCACGTGTTTTTTTGTATATCCAATAAAATTACGAGGCAGTATTTGTCAGTTACATGAAGTAAATACACAAAAAATACAGCCGACTTATTTTCACCCCAAACGAATAGAGTTTATTGGCGACGGTCTTATTTCCGGCTTGACCGTATTACACACCAATAGCGTACAGAAAGACTTATAAATTATTAGTTTTTGCTTATTGCTTAGGGAGACTAGCACAACTTAATACATAGAGATCACATAAATCGTTATTTCTAAAGAGGAACTAAGCTAAGAGCAGTCAAGCTTATCAATGCCGGGACAAGAATTTTTGCTCGTTAGTGATACAATCGTTGGCGCGATATAAGGGACGATTTGCGGAATCGTTCATTAATAAAGAGTAGAATATCGAGACTGTGCAAAGGGCCGGATAGAAAAGTTATTCCCTAAGGTCTTGAAAGAGGAAAATAATTGGGATATGGACGAAATCATGCATTACATTATCGATTGATTAGGATAGATGAAATTGTTGCCGACGATGGGAATGCGGTGATCACGCGAGCCACGGCCCTGATGATAATTTCAGTGGAAAGATACGGGGGAACGGCCGAGGAAGCCGACGCGAAGGGCAGAAAAGTCGAGAGCGCGACGCTACTTGAGGCCTGGGGGTTGATCGTCATCTGGCGACATCCCTGATTCGCAGGCCTCCTACTTAAGGTACTGGTCGACCCCACCATGCCCGTGTTGGTGCGCGCGTCCCCTCTCCTTTTCCCCTTCGCGGGCGTATCGAATTCGTTACAGATCCCCGCGCTGGAAATCTCCGCCCCTTGAAAAGCTCGCTCTCTTGCTCGCACTAGTGTGCGATTTGTAGAATCGGCCCTTTCTTTTTCCTTTTTTCCACACCGGGCACCATGCGTCCTCGCACTCCCTCGTAATTCTAAGTGTGCGTGCGTGCGTGCGTGCGTGCGTGCGAGAATTGCTCGGTTTGTTTGCCATCATCGCCGTGCGTGTGTGTGCGTGACGCGCGCGCACTCATGTGAGTCAGGGATGAATCGAGCGGCGCCCCTCGTGCCAACGATCCCATCGATTTCTTCAGTTCGACAATCTTCGGGCATTCCCTTCTGAGCCTCGATATCGCTCAACCTCAGACTACGTGTCAATTATTGGGCCCGAGAGACAGCCCATGGCTCACGATGGACTAAATCCACGGACCGCGCGCCCTCGATCGCGCGTCACTTTTTGCATCCAGCACTGGGCTCGGCTCCTCACGCACAGCTGCGGCCCGTCCGAAAAAACCGGGACGATGGCCGTGTCGGCCCCGGGGGTGGGGAGGGAACGGGGGGGGGGGGGGTTGGGGGGGGGGGGGGGGGGGGGGAGAAAACGGCTGCGTGCGATCTCTCCCCCAGTCGAGCCCGAGCGCCTCTCATAGCTCCATCGGCACGGATGCGCGACGAATAATCGAAGCCCTCGGTCGAAAACCTCTCCGACGGAGCTGACGTCACCGAGCTGACGCGGGGGTGCGCACAAGGGGGACGAGCTTGCGCACGGGGGGTCCTTTGACGGAGAGTCCTGCGCCTCGGCCGAGTCGCGTCTTCTCGTCCGCGCGCGTAGTCTCGCCTGGAAACGTCCTTCCGTTCGAGAGATTCTCGTTGCTATAGAGGCCAGATCAGCGCCGTATCAGGTCCGTGATCAGGCCCAAAAATTACGAACGTGCAGCAGCCGAAGAGTCCCGAGGTGAGCCGAGGGGTCTTCTTGCGCGCCGAAGGAAGCCCGAGGCTATCGGCTCCAATAGCATTGATTCGCGTATCGACGCGCTCGGACTCCAACGCCCGAGCCCCCACCCACCCTCTGGGGTCGCTTCCCGCTCCCCTCTATTGGGGGGATGCGTCGCGCTCTCGAGCTTCGATCGACGCTGCGGAAAATCGACGCCCGTCGCTTCGGCAGTCGATGGGACGCCCATCTCGCCGTCAGCATCCGTCGCGATACGCCAGCCTCCAGTGATTCCTGATCGACTTCTCGCAGTCCAGGAACCTCGTATCTACGCGCGATGGCCGCCCCCCACGAGTGTCGAGATCGATCCCAGCATTGACCCGCAGGACGGCCCCAGTCCGCCTCCCGCCCACCCGTCGTCGCCGCCGTCCTCGGCCCGAGCGCGGCTACGGCGTCAAGCCCGCGGCAGCGGTCACGAGGCACCGGGAAATCGATAGCTCGGCCCTCGATGCCTGCTCGCTGAGCGCCGGCGCACGTGCGCGCACCTGGAGCCGCGGCCGGTCGACCCCCTTCTCTCGAGGCGGCGGCCATGGCCGCCTGAATCCACGCGCCGGCGCACATGGACAGCCTGGGCGAGGGGCCCGCGCCTCGGCGGCTGCGAGGCCTCGGCGCCGGCGCGTCGATAACCGGTGGGGGAAGTACCGCCGTCAAACCGGCGCAGCAGCAGCAGCAGCAGCACCACCACCACCACCACCATCACGACCACCACCACCACGACCACGCAGCAGCAGCAGCAGCAGCAGCAGCAGCAGCAGCAGCAGCAGCAGCAGCAGCAGCAGCAGCAGCAGCAGCAGCAGCAGCAGCAGCAGCAGCAGCAGCACCAGCAGCAGCAGCAGCAAAGGCCGCAGCAGCAGCAGCAGCAGCAGCAGCAGCAGCAGCAGCAGCAGACGCCGCTTCGGCACTCGCAGCAGCACCAACAACAGGAGCAGCAGCAGCAACAGCAGCAGCAGCACGAGGCGGCTGGCAGTGGAGGGGCCGAGGTTATGTCCGGCTCGTCGGCCTCTCAGAGCCCCGACATCGCCTGTGCCAGCCTCCCCCTGGAGTTGCTCGCGGCCGGCGCCCTCGCCGCTGTAAAAGAGGAGGCGCGCGCCGAGGGGGAGCGCGAGCGCGGCGCCTCCGTCATCGTGCCGGCCCACGAGTGCGATACAGACTCGCGCGACGCTCACGAGGAGGAGCACGAACTGCTCTCGACGGGCAAACTTTCGCCAACCTCGGGTATATCGGTCAGTGTTGCCAGCATGATAGACGCGACGGACTTCCGGGCAATGCAGCCGGAGCCTACTTACCAGACCCTGACCTCGGTCGCCGAGCGAATGTCGCCCCCGGGCTTCAGCCCGGGCTCCAGTTACGCCACGCTGACGCCCTTGCAGCCGTTGCCGCCGATATCAACGATGAGCGACAAGTTTGCGTATGGAGGCCATACCGTAGCCGGAGCTGGTGGATGCGGGACCGGCTCCGGTTCGGGAACCGCCGGCGGCGTCACCGGCAGCTTCGCTGTCATGCAGAACAACGGTCTCGGCGGTATCGGACTAGGCGGAATGGCTGGCTCGCCTTACGCCTACGACAAGCTGCCCTCCATGGGCATGTCGCCGCCTCACAACTATCCATCCCCAGGGGAGGGTCTCCAGCCCTCGCCTCTTTCGCCCCAGAGCGCCTACAGTCGGAGCGCCCTCAATTCGCCCCATAAGTCAGCGAGCCCGCATTACGAGCCGGCTTTCTTGCCCCGGCTCCAGCAGAGCCCTCAGGCCCTGAGTCCGCCGTCGCCGCCGGTGGGTAGCCAGCCCCAGGGTTTCGCGCATCACTCTCACTCACCGCCAGCGCTCTCAGGCCCGGGCTCGCCGCCGCCCTCGTCGCTGCAGCAGCACCAACAGCAGCAACAGCAACAGCACGGACAACATCAACAGCAGCAGCAGCAGCAACAACAACAACAACAACAACAGCAGCAGCAGCAGCAACAGCAACAGCAGCAGCAGCAGCAGCAACAACAGCAGCAGCAGCAACAACAACAACACGCTCAGCACACGTCGGTGCTAATGAAGACGGGACCTACGACACCGGGAGCCACCGAGGTCGAGGAGATCAACACCAAGGAGCTAGCCCAGCGAATTAGCGCCGAGCTCAAGAGGTACAGCATACCCCAGGCGATATTTGCCCAGAGGGTGCTCTGTCGAAGCCAGGGTACTCTGAGCGACCTACTACGCAACCCCAAGCCCTGGTCGAAACTTAAGAGCGGTCGGGAGACTTTCCGGCGGATGTGGAAGTGGCTGCAGGAGCCCGAGTTCCAGAGGATGTCGGCACTTAGGCTCGCAGGTTAGTTGCCTAGGCCTCTTACGCTCCACTGGCTTTAGCCAGTCCAACAACCGCCCCAAAAGCCTCAACAACCAGCCACCTTCTCGTAATCACACACCTCTCTTTCTTCTATTCTCGTGCAATGATAAGCTCGCGAGCGCGTGACCGAGGACCGAGGCTCCCCCCCAGGAGTTCGGCTTGGCTCCGTAGCCGCGACGGGTGCGTACACGTGCTTCCCACGTGGAGAGGCGTTCCCTTCCATATCATTCAGAGATAGACGCGCGGAATAACACTTTTCGAATTCAACATCCTTTGCGCGGGGGTGGGCGAGAGCATGGGGCGGCCGCCTACGTATACCGGGGGGGCTTATTGATCGGTGTCACGCGGTGCGCGCGTCGGCCTCTCGCGCAGACGCGCGACCTCGCGCCGTCGCCACGCTGTCGTCCTCCCATAATACCGCCAAGCGTTGTCTGAACAGCCAAACAGCCCCCGACGATTTGGCCTCCCCTCCGGCCCCGCGACTCACCTCACGGCCTCACTCTCTGTCTGTCTGTCTGTCTCTCTCTCTCTCTCTCTCTCTCTCTCTCTCTTTCGCTCACCCTTATCGCGTACTCCCGAGCTTCCACGGAAGCGGACGCGTGCTGAAGGATGCCCTCGCTCTCAAAGACTTTGTCATCGCCGCCTTTATTATTATCGTCGACCGACGTCTACCTTGTCGTTGTTACTACTATTATGATTATTATTATTGTTGTTGCCGCTGCGCTGTCATCGTTACTGTCATTTTCGTTATCGTATTGGTTGCCGTTGTCGTTGTCATTGTCGTTTTCGTTTTCGTTTTCGTTTTCGTTTTCGTTGTCGTCGTTGTTCTCGTTGTCGTTGTTGTCGTTGTCGTTGTCGTTGTCGTTGTCATTGTCGTTGCCGTTGTCGTTGTCGTTGTCGTTGTCGATGTCATTGTTATCGGTGTTGATACTGCTGTTAATGTCGTCCCACCACCGCCAACGTTGCCGTTGCTACTAATCTAACTGTGCATAGTGTCCCTCCAATTTTATTAACTCAAAAAGTCAAACCGCTAAAATAACATGCACTACGTACGTTGTATAATATATAATTGCCTAAAGCCCTTAATATTAATTTCAGTAAGTATATTGCTTACACAATTAATGTTCTATTTCTTGTCTCTCCTCTCTGCCTTAGTGCCTCTCTCTCACTCTCTCTCTCTCTCAGTTCCCTTTCCCTCGTTCACCTATCTCTCTTCACTCTTTACTCTCTCTTTCTCTCTCTGTCTCTCTCTCTCTCTCTCTCTCTCTCTGTCTGTCTCTATGTTGATTACTCTGTTCGTTGCCATACGACGGAGAGCGTCATATTCGTTAAATTTGCTTTTCCATCGTTAAAGATTCCGTAAAGGCTCGCGGACTTATCAACTGAAAATTAATAACGCGCGTGATTTTTTTACACTGTACTTAAACATGCACTCTAATATATGTTTCGTCAATCTATTCAATTTCCTTGCAGACATGCGTCCATTCGTACGAGCATCATCAAATGCTTGAGTAATTGTTAGAGGGAGCCTTAGAGAGCACAGGGGATATATTCACTAGTCAGTTGTGGGAGGAATAAGAAAGTGGGCGACTGGAGAATTTGCAACTCGTCGAGAGAAAAAATATCTGTTTGTTATTTTCTCCTCGAACTTGTCGACTTGCAGCGAAAGGCAGAGATAAACCGAAGGAGGCCACGCAAGTAAAACTATTTCGCAGCTCTTGGCGGGCGTAGGAGAGGACGGCGGATGGTTCAGCGTATATATTGTACGAGAAAGGTATATAGGAGGAGTTAAGGAGACGAGGGGCAAAGAGAAAAGAGCAGTGCACCGAGGGTTGGTAAGAAACAATGCTGGAGAAGGATTCAATCCAGAGCCCTTCAGATTAGAGTTCACCATTGTCTACTTCACTACTCCCAAACTTTGTGACATTTCATTAGTCTTTTCCAATAAAATAAGTACAGAATGTATTTGAGTCTGCTTGCCAGCAGCACGAAAGAGAAAGGCGGGCAGGGTAAGCAGAGGGTGAAAAAGCACCGATGAAAGGCTTGATAAACAATCATGGGAATTCGTTGTTTCGGGTGGGGAAAAATGAAGAAGGAACTGTATAATCTCGTGATTACGCGCAATTACGGCATTGTCATCGTTGCGATCGCGATCGTGTGCTGATCGCCTAGGAAACAAACCGACGCGTGCTAAACATATACTCGACTCTTTTTCTCTCCATCTCTCTCTCTCTCTCTCTCTCTCTCTCTCTCCCTCTCTCCCTCTCTCTCTCCCTCTCTCTCTCCCCCTCCCACCTGCCTTCCCTAACTCTATCTTTCTCAAACACTCTCTCAATCTCTCTCTCCTGTCCACTCTCGCACACTCTCTTTTTTTTTTTTTGCGCGCGCGCTCCCAGTACGCACACCCTCTCCAACTCGCTCTCATTTCATATTATTTTTCTTTTTCTCTTTACGACGGCTTCGTCGCACGAGCTTTCGTGTTCTGTCGCTCGCATGTTCATGCAAATGCATAGGTTTACACGTACGTACGTTCGCTCGACCGACAACGTGTTTGTGTATAGGCGCGTACACCGCACGCCAAATGACGTAAGCACCCCTCGTTTGCTTACTCGCCGCGGTACCCACATCATATGTCGACATATATGCACATACAAACACGGGCGCGCGCGCGTGTATGCATAGGCTATTTTATTTTCCGTGTGTTTGTGACGGCGCGTGTGTGCACTAGTTGCCAACGTGTGCGAGTGTAGAGGTAGGGGAGTAGCAGGCAGGAAAGGTGTACGTACGTAGACACTCGGAGAGGTTTTCAACTAATCGTCGATGGCCCCTCCGTTAGGGGTCTACTCGCACGAGGCGAAGGCGTCCCCGAAGTCCCCGTAGTGCACGAGTCAGCCGTCGCAGCTGATCTTTTTTCTTTTCTTCTGTCCTTCGCATCGTCGCCTCCCTTCTCCCTTTCTCACTCGCTTTCTATTCGTTTACGTCGTCCGTCGCAAGTGTAAGTGCCACCTTGACGAGCGACACGCGCCCTGTGCGGTTTTTGACGTTGTCGAGGCCCAAACGATAATTTTTACATTTACTAATATGTGAATTATACGAAACTATGGCCTCCATTTTAATGTAATTACGTTAAAATAATGCTCTATCATGTACGGTTTATTCATTCTTTGCACACTATATATCTTGTTGAAATGACTGCTTCCTTATTTTATTTTTGAATTTACTTATTTAGTTAATGATTAGAGATATCAATCATAGTCCCTAAGAGCCTGAATGAATTCTGCTTTTTCAAAATTTAAATAAATTTATAATAATACTTGCTAAATATACATACATACATATATATTGTTATCTATCGAATTATTTCACATAATAAAATACTTAGAGAATCGATAAATAAAAAACGTTAGGTAATTAAACGGGTGGACGGGATTATATTCATCATTGAAGCCTAACACATAAAACATTTGAATATGCAACACGAAAAACTTCGGTGGATATCGTAGATCCAGAAGAAATCAAAAACAGGTCCGCTTCTCTTTGATACGCCAAAGCATTAATTGGCCTCGAGACGTGACGGTAAAAGTAAAATTAAATATGAAATAGAGGATGAAAAAGGCAGAAACGATAAAGAAAGAATAGGCCCGACGAGAAGGTTTGTGGCTCGGCGACTCGGTGTGGGTTTCAGGCCGTTGTCGCAGCACGCGCCGAAATTCGACACGCGCGCATCGCGCCTATAAGAGGCCATATACGCGTTCTCCCGTGTCACTCCTCTCCTCTCCTCGCCCCCTCTCCCGTGCAACCAGTGGACAATGCTCCGACCGGTACTACCGCCACCACCTTCGCTTCTACGTCTCACTTTCTTCTCTCTCTCTCTCTCTCTCTCTCTCTCTCTCTCTCTCTTTCTCTCTCTTTCTCCCTACCCCTCTCCATATTCCAAATGCTCCATCCCTCTCATCCTGTCTCTCTCTCTCTCTCTCTACCCACCTCTCTCTCTCTCTCTCTCTCTCTCTCTATCTATCTATACCCCCCCCCCTACCTGTACCTCTACCTCTGTCGCCCCCTCATAAGGAACACGCACTCGAGCGCGGCGCTCTCACCTATGGGGGTCTGCTGTGCGTGCGCGGTATCCCACTTCCACGGGATATCCTGTCAGCCATGCAGATTGCAAGGAAGTGACGAGGAGGCAGGTGAGGGATGATCGGACGGCGACCGTCCAAGAAACCTAATTTGCTCATTTCAACTCGATCACCCTGTGAAAAATGACGATCCCATTGGGGTTATTCAGACCCTCGTACGAGAACTTTTCGATACCCTTTAATCGACTCGACCCTGTACTTTAATACTCATTGCCGCTTCTTTCATTTCCACTCTCTCTTTCTCTTTCTCTCATTCTTTTGCTTTATCGCTCTCAATCACTCTCTATCTCTCATTCGCTCTCTCTCTCTCTCTCTCTCTCTTTCTCTCTCTCTCTCCCTCCTTCTGTCTGCTTTTCATAGTTTCGAATTCGCTTATATCGCCTCTTGTTTTATTACTCATTATGGCACAACAGCACTTTTATTATATGCGCCAAGCTTGTGTATATATCGCTTAACTGAAATGTAAATTCCTCCCACGTCTCTCAGCTGTTTATACAGTACAACTTACCGCACGAGTGTTTTAACGGTGGAAAATTTAAATATCATTTGTCCGACTGGTGCTCGCGAATTATGATTACTCGACGCGCAACAATGTTACCGATAATTAATTAATGTATATATAAATGGACGAGACTCTCGGTGTCTTGTCCAGGACGACGAAGGACCAACAAAAGCTTATTGGGCTTGTAGATGACCATTGAGCCTTCGTGACAACTCGCGCGCCTTGCCCCTCGGTAGCTATCGTCATGGAATTGTCCAGCTGGAAATATATGCTCGATCGCGAATTTCGAATCCTCGGCACTTTTGTTACAGCAGAACCCTGAATAATATCAATTGACGCCGATGACATGTGAGTGATAACGGAAGGTCTATCAGTAAGGTAAAATATACCCGCATAAATTCTTGAAAAGGAAACCCATATGCACTCGTTATCGATGCCAGTAGCTCAAGCGTCAGAGACTTACGGCACTGTACTTTACGAGGCAGAGCTCCAATAATGGATCATACGAATTAATGGCTTTAAAAATCTGATTTTTCAATTATGTCGTAAATAATGGGCCGATTAGAAAATTGACCCCCCCCCCCCCCCCCCCCCCCCCCCCCCCCCCCCCCCCCCCCCCCCCCCCCCCCCCCCCCCCCCCCCCCCCATCCCCATCTCCCCATCTCCCCCTATCCCCATCTCCCCATCTCCCCCTCTCCCCCTCCCCTTAAAATAATATTAAGCCCTTTCCTCTGTTTCCGATCTTTCTCATTATCAATGACCTATCGCTTTTTGCTAGCAAGTACCACATTGATATGAGCTAAGCAGGAAAAAGGAAAGCCACCGCGCCGCAAATCGAGAATCACGGAGCTAGTCACGGACAGACGTATCAAATTAAACGTGTACGAGATTGCCGATAAGAGAAAGGTGACACTGGTATGCTACGCGATAAGTACAGAACGTTGCCCTCTTACAGCGCGAATGAGCATTAGCACTTGTATAGGCCGCACTTTTTTTCGCACCTCTCTCCAATGTTTATTCGCTTTATATGTATTAGGTGCTTGATCGAAATATGCGCGTTTCCACGTAAAAAGCACTGACCAATCGTTGTTACCAAATGTGAGAATGTGAGCGCGAATCATTACGCGGCGTTTTACAATATTTATGTCGAGTACTGTGAAAGTCGTGGGATAAACGATTTTCGTGATTATTCGCAGTCGATGGCGGGGCGAGATAGTTAGAACTTTTTTTCTTTTCTTTTCTTTCTTTTCATAACGAAGGCGATGAGTGGGAAGAAGAGTTCGCGAAGCACATACGAAGCGAATGTCGAATCGAATGGGCGACAATGGGCAAGCCAAACGGTTCTTAAAATGCCATAAAATGCTTTCGATGCCGCTCCAGATCATCTCACGAGACGCTAATGCGTCCACGTCATTTCTTTACTCATCGGCTCAAACCAAAATTTATTAACATTACCA